TGTTGTAGCTAGTCATTTTGTGAGGAGTTACTAACTGTGATTACAATTAGACACTGTTATTAACAGGTAAAGAAATATGAATCTAAAAAAGTTGAGGGTAAATTAGCAGCATTTCTTAATGTTAGAATTCCTGCTCAGTCATATCAGATCAGATACATTTCAGGCATCAGGTGCGAGGAGAAGAGATAAAAGAAAATGGGAAGAAAATTGGCAAAGCATGAAAAGGAATTGAAGGACTCAGTTTAGTAATCAGATTTGCTATTAAGTAATGAAAAAAAATCCTTTATTTTTAATTCAGGAATCCAAGAAATTTACTCATATCAATTGTGCCTATGATTATCTCCCTTTTTTCCCAGCTTGATGTCAAACTGTACCGTTGTTAAGCACTCTGTGTTTTATAAGGTGTTATAGAAATGGAAGTTGCTGTTGTGATATTGGGTTGTAATTTGTGGTATTTATTTTCTATTTTGTTTCCAAATTTATTGTGTTCAAATATTTTCTAGTGTTTTCCCCACTGGCATATGCCTCCGTTCATGATCTGTCCTCCTCTTGCTACTGGTTCAATGATGCCTGCAGCATACCCAAGTGTCATTGTTCATGTGTTAGCCTTGGCACTGAGTGGTGGTCAGCCACATGACCGTAGAGTGCGTACTGAACGGAGCATAACCTCTCGTCACCCTACTGAACCGCAGGTGAACAACCAGTAGAGAGCGCTGTACAAAGACTAGTAGCAGGAAGCCTGACTGGTTTTCCACTTCCCTAACCTGGATAGACCAGAGACAATTTAATATCCCCATGTGTGGAGACCAATAAACTCAACATAAACCGGGATTTGAACCAGTGAGCTTCTGGTCATAAGCTAGAGCTTTATACACTACCATTAGGGCTGCCATCTGTGCTATTTCTTGATGGAACTCCTAAAAAAATGTACCATGCAAACATTCATCTAAGTAACTGGCAGTAAGACACATCGATCTGTGGAACTCTGATCCGACTTGATCTAATAGAGCAGCATAATTTCCATGGGTTTAAGCAAATTCTACCATTAAGATATGCAGCATCCTAACATTTCTTGTTTTGTGGAAAGTCTCTTTATCACTATTCTCTGTGCAAAGCAATTGAATTTGAACTGTTAGTTCACTGTCCTTCTGATCAAATACAACAAAATACATAGCATTACCAGAAGATAGCTCAATTTGGTTGGATACTGATAGCATTTAAGGTCTTGAATGTTTGTGCACCTCATCTACACCTGATCTTAAATCCTGTATTAAATTCACTCCAGAATAGTTGCCTTGTGATGTGGACTCTAATTTTATGGGAGGTTTTATTGAATTTGATATCTGTGTCTGTGCTGTGAATCGATGTGTGATGACATGACATTCACACTGAATGACTAACAAGTGTGACGTCTTTTGTGCAAGTTGATTGATAAACAATTTGTAATTAATTTTTACTTCTATGACCAGTAAATATTATAACCTGATTAATCGCTGCGGATCACTGGAAAATCTAATCCCATGGAGAGGATTGTGAGCCCAGGTCAGGGAATCAAAAATGTCTGGATTAAGTCCATTTGATTAAACCGATTCAAATCCAAATCTTTGTCAGTTCAACTAAGATTTGACTTAATTTCATCTTTTTGATCATGCTTACGGTCAATTCAGCCCTCTCCCCTGGCTCAGTGTCAGACTCCGCCACTGTCAAGCGCTCCGGGACGTTACCCTATGTGAAAGGTGCTATATACATACAAGTTGTTGTTGTAGATATCCTAAAGCATAGCAACTGCAGTATTGCATGCTTGCATCCTCTCACATTATTGGAGATGAACTGTAACTCAGTGTTTATCATCTGATTACCTTGCTCAGTTTGCATATATTTGATAGCACAATTTATTTGGGAGATTTTCACAAATTCCTGAGATTACATTCAATGAAGAAGACCCTTTGAGCCATCTGATCTCATCCTTCCAGAGTAACCGCCCTCCCACCCTCTCATAATAGCAAGACCAGCCCAGGAGCGTTTGAAGAGCTATTTGTGTTGATAATTTGAATTTGAATATTTCTTGATGAATCAACACTCCAAAACATTGTTACTGTGAGGGCTTTTCTGACATCTTGGATAGTGCCCAGTTAATGTCATCGCTATGGTAACTGACTGCAGAAAGTTCCATTACGAAATGGATAATGAATGCTGATTTGCAATTATAAGATGAAAGTATTTTCAAAAGGTGCTGTAGATGGATCTAAGCACAACCAATTCATTTATTTTCAATTAAAGTCCGAGTAGAAGAAGTTTAGCACTAAGGTAGTATGTACATGTATCAGATAGAAATCTGTCTTTAGCACTGTACACTTCTGGATTTGTCAAGTGTGAGGCTTAATGGAGAGGAAGGAGTGTAAATGAGCCTTGGAAAATTTCAATAGAACATCTCTAATTGTTCTACGTAATGGTGTTTAAGTAGTAGCAAGAGCAAAGATTAAGAAAAAAAGCATAAAACAAAATACCCGACAAAGGTTTACAGTATTTAACTAAATCTTATCGGGATAAAATTTGTATTTCTTAGTGTTTGATGTGATAACTGAAAACTATTACTAGCATTAATTTACACAATAGTAGTTAGTGGTATTTTAGTATTTAACAGTAAATTCCTGTTAGATGGCAATGCACCACTTCCACAGCATGTTCTCTCCTGACTGCATTGAATGCTTTATTGAGAAAAATCTCAGGCAAGCTGATTTTAACTTTTAAATTGTAGCCTTAATTCTAATTGATGCCTATGTGGCACAGTTCAAATCTGTCTTCATACAAGGTTGATAGTGTGAAAATGAAAACTAGTTCTATTCTAGCTCACAAGCTTTATATTATATTTTAATGGTCATCAGTTATATAACAGGACAACTACCATGTTCAATTGGTATCCAGCCAAAAAGCTGGCAGCATTCACTTCAGTATCCCCAACTATCAACGCAAGGCAATTGGATTTACTTTGTGAGTTCTGCAAGGGTATGCAGCATGTGAATTATCGAAATAGTTGCATTTGATAGCGTGCCTTATTACATCAAAATGCTTCACAGAGATTTTTTGTAGAGAGCAGCAACTATATTTGTAAGCAAATATGTTCGCTAATTTGAACACAGAAGCACCCCACAAACAGCCATGAAGTGAATAACTTTTTTTTTTATCTCTGGGGATTGTTAGCCTAGACACCTTCTCTTTGAATATAGTGTTATGGAATCTTTAACATTCATCTTAACAGACAGATAGGACCTTGGTTTAATATCTCATCTGACACCTCCTACAATGCAGCACTCCTCGAGTACTATGTTGGAATATTAGCCTAGACAAAGAGCTAAAGAAGGTATGACATGGGGTTTGAATGCAGAACCTTATGTCTCAGAGGCAATACATCATCCAACTGACCCAAGTTGTAAATTAGTGTGGTTATTTAAAAAAACACAGAATTTGTAAATGCAATGCTTAGATTGCGCAATCTTCATTTTTTCTCCTCCCATAAGAAGGAATTTTCTTTTGCAATCTAATTATAAAGAATCTAAAAGAACGTACTGTACTCATGAGGGACTGCCTTCATTGTCTCATTGCCTCTCCCAAAGCTTAAAGTGGTTGAGCCTCATTAATACAAACCGTACTATTACAAATGCCTTGCAAATGCCTTGCCTGGATAAGAGAATTAGTTATCTTACATCCCCAGATGCTTATTTTATTAGATCTCACAAGTTTATAATATAAAGTGTGCTATATAAAGTGAAATGGCAAAAGAAATATATTTGTGAGAAGCACAAGGATAACACTTTAAAAGATGCACATTCATTTTTTTGTTTCCCTATGAGAGGAGTTGCAGGGTTGACTGAAGAATGTGTGAGACATACCTATGCGGCAGTTATATTAGAGGTGCTTATTAATGTACTGCCTGTATTAGAGCAATTCAGAGGGGAATCGGAATTGCTCTTGTTCAGAGCTGGTTATATATGAAGCATAATTCTCCGCATATATTTAAGCGCTCCGGGATGCTACCCCGTGAAAAGAGTGCTATACAAATGCAAGTTGTTGCTGTTGTTGTAGTTGGCTGTGCTCAGGAGCTCAGTGATAAAAGCATTTATGCAATGTCTGATATTGGGCTATGACAGATATTTTGACTCTGTTTTCATAAAAGAATCTTGTAAATATAGGGAATGAAATAACAAGTTAGAATAGGAAATAAAGACATACTGGATAAGTTAGACAAACTTAAGGAGGATAAAACATTAGGTCCAGGTGGACTGCACTCAAGAATCCTTGAAGAAACACATAGCTGAGGCACCAGTGATTAATGTTTAGGAAGTCATCAGAAAAAGGAATCATGCCAGAGAACTGGAGGGTGTGAAATGTAATGCTCATATTTAGAAACGGAGATAGAGCTAATCCAGAGAACTACAGACCAGGGAAGGTGTTGGGAGTCTTTAATAAAGGATGAAATAACCAAGCATCTTGAAATTAAAACAATGGATTTGTGAAGGGAAGGTCATTTTTGATCCAACATTGATTGAAACTATCACTATGCTCTTGTAATGTCAAACTGGATTCATTGTATGAACAATAACAAAGAAAAATAAATAAAAAAAGCAAATTAAAGGTTTTCAATCTTTAAGACTTGATTAAATAGAAAGTTTGGGCTCTCTGGGAACTTGCCAAGATAAGATCAGACTGATATTATGCATAACTGATATTATCAGCCTTTGGCTTCTTTCCATCTACCATTTTCTCCTCAATTTGGTAAGCACAGATATATGCCTATGTATCAGATAATTGCTGTTTTACTGTAATCTTACTATTGTTATTTATAATAGTAATCATATTTTTGTCAAATGATTTGGGACTTCCTCGCATTGTCAGAGGTGCTATATTAGTGTAAATTGTATTGTATTGTACATTCCTTCAATAATTTCTTAATACTGGAGTTTTAAGACCTTGTATGAACTATTACTTTTTGTCCCTTTTAGATCTATTTGAGGTTCCTTGACTATGAAATGGAAAATTCAAATGACTGTAAGCGCAATTTTGTGGCAATCTATGATGGGAGCAGCTCAGTGGAAGATCTGAAAGCCAAGTTCTGCAGCACTGTAGCCAACGACCTGATGCTCGGCACAGGATTTGGGGTTATCCGAATGTGGGCTGATGAGGGCAGTCGGAATAGTCACTTCCAGATGCTTTTCACATCCTTCCGAGAGCGTAAGTTGCTGAAGAACACAGTATCTGGCATAAATTTGAAATTATCAGTAATGGGCGAAATTGTGTGTATATCCAACATTGCCAGAGATTGAAGATGTGCCTTGTGAATCTTACAACTACTCCATGTTGCATGAGCTTTATTTATTTCAGATTGTAATACTCTAAAGCTCACGCAAGTGTCTTATTTATCTAAACAGTTGCATTTGTAAATTGATATGTTTCTAATACAAATTTAGATTGGTAGCTGACATGTGCACTGGATTTAAAATGTCTTGTCATGGTTATGCTATAGGTACCTTACCATGAGAGCAGTGTGAGATAATCTCCCAATTACTGTACATCACTGTCCAGTCAAGTGAGCTCCTGCGCAACAGAAATTTCACAAAATAGCAGAAAAATTAGCTGATCTATGTGTCGTAGCAAGACTTAATGACACAAACTATATTCAGCACAAAAACAAGCACCTGACAGGGGAAAGTTTATTGAAGGACAGCGGATACTGGGTCAGACCATTCAAATAATGAAAGATTAAGCATTGACGGGTGTAGTTATCTGGGTGAAAATTGTGACGTGTTATATATTAATTAACTCCAAATTAACTATTGGTTAATTAGGTGTTAGTTTGAATGATGGCTTTAATAACAAGATCACAAATCATAAGATTAATTTGGATGAAGAAGGTCCTTCAGCCCATCTGATCTCATCCTTCGAGAACACCCACCCCACCATCCTGCTATCACAGTCATAAGGTGCTTTTTAAATGAGTCTAGTGTCCTGGCCTGAACCGTCCTTCCTGGTACCTGTTAATTACTCTCTGAGTAAAGAAGAATTTCCTGGTATCTGTCCTGAAATATCCCTTTGCTACTCAGAATCTTTGATCTCTTGTTCTGCTGTCTTGGTGCATCCTAAAATATTGTTTTGGATTTAATTTCACAAACCCTCTGCTTTGTCGATAAAAAGAGTAAACCACTACCATTGTGAACAGCTTTTTTATGTGTGTGTGTTTGGGGGTGGGGAGATTGCCTCCAGCACACTCACAGACCTCTCAATAATTCAACACATCCACTGGTCCCGTTTTCAATGAAGTGTTAATTAGCACATACACATCCAGGTTGTAATTTTCACCCAATAATTTTAAAGGGATATTATCGCCATGGTAATGTGCCTTCAATGCTTTGATTTTAACATAATTATAAGACAAAAATCTGGACTAAAATTTAAAATGTTTCCATTGTAATAGATACAGAAATATCCTTGCTTGTAATACAATGATACCACTCCTTTAAATTTATTTTTTATGATTTTTTTTGCCTTTTGACAGATTCTTGGCAAGAGCAGCACATCTTGTAATGCAGCTCTTGTAGGCGGTCATTTGCAGTGGCTGTGTATTGCTTCATGAGATACAAGCACATCCAAGCATCCTGTTGCCGCAGTAACACACCACATAACTGATAACAAAATATTCATTGATTTATGAGTTTAAAATATAATCCTGGTATTTGGCTGTTTAAAACAGCAGAATATGTATATCGTGCTTCAATAAATGGAACCTCTGTAGGCTCCAAATCCTCCTGATCTTAGCCTTAAAACCATTGTCTTAAAAATTAAGATGTGCAGAATTTTGGAAAATTCTTGAAAGCAGTGTTAATCTGGAAACTGTTTTTCTGCAGTTTTTTAAAGACTGTGGTAAATCACCTTCCATATATAATGTCTAACATCAAAGGTCCCTTGTTCACTATTGACATTCTCTTCACCCACCTAGTTAAATCATCCTAACACAAGGGAAAGGGAAAGGAAGGCTTTTTTTTCTTACTGAAAAGAGATAAGTACCATGCATAAATTTATACAATAACACATCATGTTTGGATGAAATGCAGGGAACCTTGTGTTTATTTTATTGTGGGTTGTGGGTTCAAGCCCCACTCCCACATTGGAACTTCAAACTTAGAAAGGCTGACATTCAAATGCAGGATAAGACTGGGATTTAAAGAAGTTTTATATGAAATGTGCCATAGAAAAGCAAGTTATTGCTCATAAAATGGAGCGCAAGAAGCTGTGTGATGGAGAAAGACAAATTGGAGGCTAAAGGGGAAAGAAATGATAAATATTGTCTTGCATCTTTTCCAGGTGTTTCAGAAAGATACTAGAAGAGTCTCCTTGGGTATGGAGGCAATATTTAAGTTTGAACATATATGGGGTTTAAAAATGTTTAAGCATTGGTGAAGAAATGTGACTCAAACTGAGTTTCTTGGGGGTAGCTTGAGATTACAAAACAATACAAATTGACATTTATATAGTGTCTTTCATGCTGAGAGGTTGTCCCAGGTGCTTTACAATAATGACTTGGCACCCAGCTGAGGGTGGGAGTAGAGGGAGGTGAGAAGAAGAAAGAAGACCAAAATCAGGGGCAAAGTGGTAGATCTTGAGATGGTCCTTGAATGAGGTAAGGGTGGGAACAAGTTGGAGGGATTCCGGGATAGAGTTCCAGGGAATGGGGGCATATAGGCTGAAAGTCTGCCCTCCAATGGTGGGATGGGCAGGACTAGGGACATCAAGTAGGATAGTGCCCAATGAGCGAAGGGAGATTAGAAGATATGTGCGAGTTACATTTGTAATAATACATACAGTAAGGCCAAAGATTATTAATTGCTGATGGTTGGGCTTTTGAGGGACAAAGGGAAGCTGTGCCTTTAAAGAATTGAGAGATGCAAGATTCGTTTTTGCTTCATCCAAAAGCAACAACAACAACTTCGATTTATGGTGTCTTCGAGCGCTTCAAGGGTAGAATGACTAATTCAGTCATTGCATTTGAGAAAATTGTAGGCTGTACACTGTTAAGGCTTATGATCTGAATGATATTAATAAATGTAGACTGGAATCATCAGGCAAAGTGTTTCTGGCTATTATGCGCAAGAGTGATAGATCCAAAGCCAAATAGGGACCCTGACACTTCATCATTCTTAGATGTTGATTTGAAGATATTTTTAGGTAGCTACGTTCAAATCTCTTGTAGCTGAAATTAGCAGACAAGTTAAGTGGTACATTGTCACAGCTGAGAATCAACATTTAAATTAAGGATAATGTCATATCAGGGAATAAAAATGTGGGGGAGGGAGTACCCCTTGATTTTTTTACAAAAGTTGGATGTGATGATTTGAGCTACCATGTTGATGATGTTGAAAGGATTTTGTGTTCAAATCTCTTCACTCTCTGACAACTCCCTAGCTCTCCGATCTCTTCACTCTCCAATCTACTCGACTGGCACTGGCCTTCTGCTCATTCCTCGTACCCTCTACCCCACCTTGGCAGGTCGCACTTTCAGCCACTGTACCCCGAAACTCTGGAACACTCTCCCTTAATCCCTCCGCCTTGACCCCTCTCTCCCCTTTTTCAAGTCTCACCTGAAAACCTTCCTCTTCGACCATGTTTACGGCCACCTCTCCCCACCACTCATTTCGGCTCAGAGTCAGGCTCTGCCACTAAGCGCTCTGAGACCCTACCCTGCATGGAGGGCACTGTATAAGTGCAAGTTGCTGTTGTTGATGATGGTTGTGCTGTCTGTGTTACTTCATAGAATCCCATTTTAAGTAAAATTGAGTGAAGCCGGTCAGTATCCTGTGAAGTGACACTGCAACAACTTGTATGGGATGGAAATAAGTATCAAAGCTGGTGCTGATAAACCAAGATGGCATCACTAAAGCTCTAGGAACTACCTTTGTGTCCGACTATTGTGGGGAGTTGGGATCAGAAGCAGTACCCTGTCTTTAGGAATAAATGGAAAGTTTTGATATTTCCTAACAAATTCTATGGCTCATTCCATAACATGGAATCTACAATGATTTGCATTTATATAGAGTCTTACACCCGGGGTAGCATATCAGGGCGCATAGAAATCTAGAAAATATTGTGCTTTGCACACCAAATTTAAATAAATAAATATGATGCAGTGTAATCCTTGCACCTCCCTGCATAAGCTATGTTCTGTTTTACATGGCAGGAATTGTGCCAATCTGGTTTGGTTTTGTCTTATTCAACTTCTGCCTTTATATGCACGTATGAAAACCTAACTCTATTAATATAGTGAATCAGATATATTTTTAGATTAGGCTTAGAAGACATTATATAAGAGATGAATATAATCAACCATTTAACCACATTATTGTGTTCTAAACTCACACTGGATAAAACATATCATCTTTAACAGCAAAGTGCATTGCAAACAAGGTGATATTCAATTTTCTACCAGGGTGAAAGCTCATATATGTGGTACGTCTATGCACACTGTGTTCTCTTTATCCCGATTTTTCACTTTGCTTAAATATTGGGTGGCAAACAAAAGAGTGAATAATAAAGAGTAATCGTTTTTGAAATGTGAGTTGAGAGCAATATAGCTGTGTAGTGTACTGTATTGGAGCTAAAATAGGACAGACATTCCATGCTGCTGCACAGTTCATGTCAAACCACCAGCAAACTAAGTGGGGCAAAATGATATTTCATAATTCATAACCTGCAGCAATCAAGAGTCACACAGCAGAACTAGTGCCTCAATTGGCCTTAGCTACCCTGGGTTGAAAGGAGGAAAATCAGGAAGGCACTGGGTAATTTCAGGAGTGAGCTCAGCTGTGATATCCTTCAGGGTCAAATAGCCTGCTGATGCTCACTATCACAGCTAACACATACATAATGGACCTTTGAGTGAGACACTGGGTGTTTGTAAATTTTCCAAGAAAGAAAAAACTTTCATTTTTATAGAATCTTTTCATGTTGAAATATGTCAAAGTAATTACTGCCAAGTCCAGTGAGTTTTGTAGGTAAATATGGCTATAATGGGGAATCCCATTTGTGCCTGACTTAATCAAATGCATTCAATGCTGAATAGAATATTTTTCCTGAAGACCTGACATGGGGTTTCAATCCACAACCTTTCAAACCAAAAGTAAGAGTGTTAGTAATGGAGCTGCAATACCCAATTGGAACATTGTTTTGTGCAAAGTTGGCTGCGGTGTTTGTGTTGCTGCCCTCAAAACACAAAGCCACTCCACTTTACAGTCTATCCTGGGAAGCGCTTTGAGATGTCTTTCCGCTGTGAAAGACGCTTTCGCAAATGCAATGATTATTATTATAAGTGTAAAAGAGTCAAATGCCTGCAGAAAAGTAAGATGGGAGGGGAAGAGATTGGGAGGAAGGAAATGAGCAACATCCTCCCATTTCATTCCTTAAAATCATATTTTATTGAATGTATAGCGTTTCTTTTTGTAGATAATGATAATGATATATAATCTCATTCTGCTTCACTTTTGGGACAAAAATGCTAGAGTCTAATTTGCTGTATTGCTAAATGAGATTCCTTAACAAGGAATCCTTTTGGAATTCCCATTAAACCACAGGAACTCTGCTCTGAGAGTGAATTGGTCTGCACAGAGGTTGGTTTGATGTATTGTCAGTTAATAGAAGGATTTCCTCACTTGCTTGGCTCGGATTACTTATTGAGGATTCTCATGTGAGAAATACCATGAATTAGACCTCAACTGGGGGAAACTGCACCTGGTCCTACATGTATTGTATTGATGCAGCAATTCAGAACATCCAGAATTTGACTAATTCTTAAATAAAGCTTGAATTTTTAAGACCGTTCATCTTAATTTATTACATATAAACCAAATCCCAGTTGATTTTCCCCCAAAATATTTCTAAATTAAGATTATTTTTATTATTCTTACATTAATAATTCTCATGCAATGGTACATTGTTCCGAGCATCTTGTGGCTCCTAAAGCAGGGAAGTGAAACATGACATTTTTATGCTAAACCTTTGCTCACAGCACCTAAAGTATTAATTTATTTGCTAAGAAATAGCAAACACTCAACAGTAGGACCCAACCAGGACACCACCCACCCTTCACATGGTAAGTGATTCTTTTAAAAATCCCCTCTGCCTTTGTGGTATTTTCTCATATTAAAATATATAGAGAAGATTCAAATCAGCATTCGTTCAAATCAAATAGGATTTATACATTTATTAAATTTTTACATACTTTTCACCAGAGCACCACCTAGTGGTCAAAACACTCTTAAAACAGAAATATAGAATTGTGATTGTACGATGGCAACTGCATTACCATCAGTATCACTAATTCCACTCTCCTGCTTTTTCCCCATTTCCCTTAATGTATTTAATGCTCGGGTGCTTGTCTAGTTCTCTTTTGAATAATTTACTGATCTTCGAAAGCCACTTCTTGTGAGGAATTCCACACTCTTCTGATTGAAGAAATTACTTCCAATTGCTATCCTGATTCTTATTCTTCAGACTATGCTTGCATCCTTGAAGTGTATGTGACTGTAAGTTTGAGGTGTCCATGTATGTGAGTTTAAGGTGTATGTAAGTATGGAGAGTAGATACTTGCACTGGCAGATATTAAATGAATGAAGCTCTGTTAATAATAATCCTTCCATCAGAGCCTTATCACATTGTCGAAGCACCTCAATGTGCTTCACAGTAAAGTTTAGTGTTTAGTTTAGTGACTGCATTTTTAGGTGAACTGGTACTGTCCGTGGTGAAATTCTACACTACCTCTCACTCTCTGGATTCAGATATGAAGAATGATCTGCGAGCTACAAGCATCTGTTAACCTTAGGGTAGCATGATTAACTCCTTCAAGTGAGGAGAGGAAAACATTGGAGGAAAAAGATTATATTTCCTGCAAAAATCGATTGTTGATTATTTTATAAGCCAATTAACCCCAAACTGAAGGTTTCATGACAATACCATTAATTATATAATTGAAGCTAAATGTTAAAAGACAAACGCCACCCTCCACTTACAGCTTAGTTAGTTCAGAAAGATAAGATCCACTCAGCTATAATGGTCACCATATAACATATAATGGTCAAACGCAGCTGACCAAAAGCAGAGTTCATAAAAAGGAGCTAAGGAATTGTACTATCTGCTGGAAAGTCTAGACAATATACTCATCTACTGGCCTAAAATGGAGGAGAATTCTACTCAAGTCTACAGTATGCTCTCAGATATTTTATTGTTCTTGCTAATTTTACTCCCATCAATTGTTCTCCTCTCCTAACAGCATATTATTCTAATTTTCTTTCACTGGGTTACAATTTCATGGGTGTGTAGTCTGGCCATGGCCATCTTTAATCATGTTGTTGTGAGCCTTGACAGCGAGGCTTGGCATAATATTTGACCACAGTGTTGTCACAGTGGAGCCTGATCCTGCATTCATCAATCTTCAATGCACATATTTAAAGGAGCAGCTATGAGGAATGATTAGGAAACATAATGCTCTTCACCTTTGAAATGAAACATCACAGAGGAGAACTCATCTTAAATCCTAAATGGAATTAAAGTAAATCCTTGACGATGCTCTTAGATACATCAATGCAACATAAAATGTACACAAATTCAGGGTTGTGAAACATAATTTCAGGACAGACACCACAAAATATTTATTTATTTATGCAGAGGGTAGTTACTGAATGTAACATGTCTCCAGGAAAGGTCTTTGAGGCCATTAAACTGGACTCAATTAAAAACCAGTTTGATGCTGTAATAGGAAGGCAGTAGTGTGGGTATTCTGGAAGGATGGAATCAAGTCAACGAATCAGTCTTCTCATTTGTCTTTCTTTTGTAATAGTGTGTCTTTCAAATACCTTTCATAACCAGAAACATTAATGGCAATTGTAATGCCTTAACTGTTGTTTAGACCAAGTTTAACTTACAGCACAAACCATACTTTAACATCTAGATGCTTTTTAACTTGCGTCTCCTTTTACGTATTTCTTTCTCAGCCCCTTGTGATGCCAACACTTTCTTTTGCCACAGCAACATGTGCATTAATGACACTTTGGTCTGCAATGGAGTTCAGAACTGTGTGTATCCCTGGGATGAAAATCATTGCAAAGGTAAGAGCCTCTTCCCTTTCTTTAAAAAAATACTTTTTCTTCCCTCTTCTGATTTCCTTTCCAAAACCTCCGAGCAACCCTGTGCGCTTTCATGAGATTGTGAAATGCACAAAAAATGTCTGCAATTTGGTTAAGTGCAAGCTCATGTCAAAAACTCATGCATTTAGCTTATCTAGCATTCCTTATATAGATCTCCTTTGAATTATGCAGCAATTTGCAACTTGTTAATACCAATATTGTTTAATTTGCTCTCAAAGTAAAAAAAGCACTCTCTAATTCAGATCTGTTGATCTGCTGATAAGAGATTGAGGGAAGGAAAAGGAGAAAACTAACCATAAGGACAAATAAATTATGTAAACTTATACTACACGTACTTTCTAATTCTTTTAAGTAGTAGTCATTTTTTTAGAGTGACAGAGCATTTCAAATAACCATTTTGTACAACGGTCTGAGTAATTTAGTTTAACAAAGATTTGTTCTATGGAATGTGTTACGGATCTGTTATGTCATCTCTACAATATTCATTTGTTATATAGGATAAATAATGAATTATTTAATAACCATAAAGTATTACTGAAGATTACATCATATTGCGAAGGGTCTTTTTGACATTTAGACTTTTATTCTCTTATTTATGTTCTTAAAGATCCACAATCCCTTTTCCCAGTGATTATAATGAAAGGTTTGTCATGAAACAGGACACCATTTAACTTACAAAAAGTCAGGTATGAAGGGCGAGGAAGGGATTAACTAAAATAATATGGAGGAATTATTAGTTGGTAAATCACCTGAAAAATATATAATCTATTCTGAGAGATAATTAGGACATTACAAAAATGAGTATATTCCTCCAAAAGGCAAAGTTTGAGCTTTGACAATTACAATTTACATTTATGTAGCACCTTTGATGTTGAGAGGACTTTCCAAAGCACTTCACATGCCTGATTTGGAGTTTGAGATGGGCTGTGGGGGGGAGGGGGAGGTCAGGGTGTGGAAGGGGCAGAGGTTGTTGGTGAGACTAATAATGTGGTTACTATCAGAATCAACCCCCAAAAAATAGAATAGCAAGAGATAGCGCCAAGAAACTGGATAAATATAGGAAGTAATAAAAAGAGCTGAATAAATTATTATGGAGGCAGGAGGGAATATGGGACAAAAATAACTTTCAGATGGTACTAAGAATTAAAGTTTTTTTCACTAGTATTCCCAAGAGAAAGTGAGTCTTAAAGGAAGACAGCCCATTAAAAGCAGATATATATGCAACCATTGGAGAATAACCTGGAGAATAAATAAAATAAGTGAAGACTTTGCAGATATTTTAATTATAATTTTCCAAAGATTCTGGATTGTGGAATTATACCAGCAGATTGGAAGGTAATACATGTGACACTGTCATTGAAGAAAGGAGGTAGGGACAAACTATGTATGCAGATTGTGGGTTTACATCAGTTGTGGGCAAATTACTGGAATCTTATCAAGTATAGAATAACTGAACATCTGCAGAAATATGCACAGAGAGCCAGAATAGCTTTGCAAAGGAAAGGTCATGTCTCACAAACCCAATGGAGTTCTTCAACAGAGCCACAGAGGTGATAGATAAAGGAAGGTAGATGGGAAACCTTAAAATGGATTTTCAGAAGTTATTTAATAGTGCACCACATAAGAGATTACTTGCTAAAATTAAGGTCATTTTGGGACACGAATAAAAAATGTGTGTGTGGTAGAAAGCACAGTTGGACTACAAGTGACATTCTCTCAATTGTGGACAGTGACAAAAGGCAAAACAAGGATTGGTCCTAGTTTTTTACACCTACATATAAAGGACCTGTAGATAGAAATGGTGTGGGAGGGAGGGTGAATTAGTCTCATAAACCATTTCCTCACATAGAGCATTGTCAATATGTGGAATACACGGTATAAGAAAGCTACAGAGACAGAATAATTTGGGATGTTTAAAAGGGAAATAGAGAGATGAGAAATAAGGATATTGAAGGTCATTGAGTGAATATCTACATGGGATTAAAAGACCTGAAATGATTGAATGAACTGTCAGAACAGGCTCAAGAGCCTCTTCAGGTTGCAATGTTCTCAGGGCTATAATAGTGGAGGCCATTAATACAAACAAGAACGCAAAACCTCATGGTGCAGTAATAACTTTTAAGGGTGTAGTTATTAAAGTAAATTAACCACAGTAATTCATACAAGTGATATTTTCCAAGTTGTCAGAGAGCAGTAATATGTGCCAAATGATGAATGGTTGTGTTTTTGTGGCTGATGGAAGTCAACTAGTGGAGATGAATACAACTGAAAATCAAACTAATTCAGCACCTGAAAAATAGATAGCTTAACATAACTGGTCTGATCCTTCATCAGAACCAAAATAATTAGACTGAAACATTTTATAGGATCAAAGAAGGAAAGAAAAGCAGTTTGATTCTGGGAATAGAATATCTCCCCAGTTTCTGTACCTCATTTCAATATCAAACCCTCCTTGGGTCAAGCGTAGCATCATATAAATGAATATAATGCTCCTCATGTCCACTCAGGCCTTTACCTAAAAACCCAAGAAAAGGGAACCTGCAGCTTTAAGACAATCTTGAAGTGTAAAATGATGTATTAAAACTGGTAACAATTTCCTTCATTTATGTTATACAGAGAAAAGAAAAGCAAGCCTGCTGGACCAGCTTACCAACACCAGTGGGACTATAATCGGGATCACCTCTTGCATTGTGATTATTCTCATTGTTATCTCTGTTATAGTTCAGATCAAACAGCCTCGCAAAAAATTCATCCAAAGAAAACCAGACTTTGACCAAACAGTTTTTCAGGAGGTTTTTGAGCCCACACACTATGAACTCTGCTCTCTTAAAGGGAAAGGGGCAGCAGCTGATCTGGGGGACATTGTAGATGATTTTGAGAATTACCATAAACTGAGGCGATCGTCTTCTAAATGCATCCACGACCATCACTGTGGTTCCCAGATGTCTAGCATTAAAGGTAGCCGTAGTAACCTCAGCACCCGCGATGCCACTATCCTCTCAGAGATACAGCCGCAACCAGTGAAGCCTAGCGTCCAGCCTATGAGCAGGCGGAGTATCCTCGTCATGAAGCACAGCTACTCACAGGACGCAGCAGATGCATGTGATATTGATGAAATCGAAGAAGTCCCGACTACGAGCCACAGACTGTCCAGAAATGATAAGTCTGTCCAGCGGTCAGTATCAATTGATTTTTGATAAAGACTATTTCATAAACAAGGACTCCATAATGTCCAATATCCTCTTTTTTTTTTCTGTTTCAGTTTCTCTTTTCATTTAAGATTACATCCCGCATGCACAGTGAAATCTTGAGAAGTGATTCTCCAATTTACAGAATCAATGATCAGAAAGCAAGAAACCTATTTGTGCATAAATAACACTAAAAGTCAGCTAACCAAAGGAATATTTTTATCCAGAGATAAACTTTATAGGGTTCCACTGTGCAAAAACAAACATTCAATGGTGTTAAGGTAGCGTTTTCACTAAAACCAAAGAAAGTTATATCATGTAGATATTAACTCTATCTGGGAGAAATGCATGGTACACGTATGTTAATGAGTTGAAAACTTGATGCATTTATTTATAACATAAATGTTTGTTTTAAAAGAATGTTTTTTATTCTACGATACATGAGAGACCTAAGGGCAAAATGATGACATAATTTAAAACAAACAAAAAACGTTTTTTAAATTTTGTGATCTTTTTCTACAAAGGCCAGTGATGATTGTTTTTAAAATTAATCACTGAAAATACTACTATTATCAGCCAAACCGTGCTCATCTTGTAGATATATAATTTACACTAAATTACTTACAAATACATACCTAGACATATTCGTATGTAGTGAATACAGATATCGATATGCATAAAATTATGCAAGAAAAAGGCAATATAGATCAGATTCTTTTTATGGCTTAAAACAGAAAAGGGTGCATGAGCCAATGTTTTTGATAACATCTAATAAAAGAGAAACTATTTTTATTGTGTACTGCACCTTGAATATTCATTAATCAGTTAAAAAAGTAAAAAGTTTAGAGAAAATTTCTAGCTTCTAAATGTCCTTTGTTCATATGCCTCTACGATATTTTGTGAGTGTTAACGTGTCTTTTTGATAGGTATACTTACTCACTCTGTTTTTCCTTTGTCGCATTAGATAGATAAGTATTGAGAAATTTACTTTTATAGTTGTTCTTCATTATTATTCATAATTTTTCTAGAGGCTAGGATACACAAATATTTTACTTTCAATGTATTATGTAAACGTCGTAACAGCAAGCAAAAAAATGTCCTCCATTAGGAAATGAACAGTACTTTCCTCAGATGTTTAGTATTTTTGGGGTTGGTTGATCTGCACTTTGGAAACAGTGTCTGCCAAGTTGGCTCTGGTTCTCACGTAGATCGCTATCACTCTATATGTTTATGTATAAATACACTTTTCAATGGATATGCAGATAGATAAAGATGGATTTATGTGATGTGTGATATGTACGCACATATTTATCTATATATAGATTTATAAACACAGATATCTAGCGGGTGAAAATTATGATGTGTGATGTGAAAATTATCACCATGGTAATTATCACATTGTTGAATACAGTCAACAAAGTCAGTCAATAGCAAACTTTCTTCCATATACTCCCTCCTCCATTACCGTCATATTGGATGGGTCCAAAACTAGCCTTCAGCCATCACTGAACTTCTGGCTTGTGGATCATAGCATCAGAACTAGGATTCACAGGGTATTGGCTTAACAATGATTTATTCTGTTGAGTTATGAAAGTATCCCTCAAACCAGCCACTGATAAGCTTTTGACTCATCCAAAAGCTCAGTGTAACTCAGTAGTTGGAGCACTTGCCTCACAAGCAAGAGACCTGGGTTTGATTTCTGGCAAGGCGTAATGTTGAGCAATTTTCCTTATCCACACGCCTCTGTTTACCTAGCAGAAAGTAGGAACCCGGTTGTTAGTCGATTGGTGGATCACTTTTCCAAGAGTAATAATTCCTTAAAAAAAATAATAATAAATTGGTCACTTCAATCCATGACTGCTTGTAGGACACTGCTGTGCACAATTAGCTGCCATGTTTCACCCATAAAATATACAGTCAATTCACTTTACAGTATATTCTGTGAAGCGCTTTGAGACGTCTCGAAGACGTGATAAGACACTATATCAAATGCAAGGATTATTATTATCCATTGTGACGTAGTTGGGGAGGGAAGAAGAGTCTTGTTATCAACCAGCTTCATCGACTCCATTTATCACCAGTATGCTGATTATCACAGGTGATAACAAATTACAAATCATAATTTTCACCCCTTATGTAAGCAGAAGAATATTTTAGTGTTCTGTGTACATTCTCTGCACCATATGTCGTACTATGGATGTAAGTCAGGAACATTTACTTAGAAATCATAGAACATTTAGCATTTGAGACACAACAATAAAGAATTATTATACTGGTGAATAGTTTAATACATGTAAGTAACTTTGTTGCTTGGGTATATTTTGGGGAAGTCGAATAAGAGGGTCAGCACAAACAGTAACATAGGGTAGGTCTCAAAATGGACTTAACAGAAACATCATCAACTAGGCAAAAATCCATACCATGCTGATATATACAATGAAAACTTTGAATAGGTGATATCCATAGTTACCATGAGTACAGTGGCCCAGTTTATTTTAATTGATATGTGTATTCCTCAATTTACATGGCTATTTACCATGATCCAATCTCCTTTGCAATCCTGCCTATGCATTGATTTGCCCCTGTATTACTGCAGTCATATACTGAGCTTGTCTGGAATGAAATAAAAGAACATATCTATGACTCAAGTGCAGTTTTTAACCCAATAGCCTTCGGATGTCCTCCCGACGTGAAAGGCGCTATAAATGTAATTTTGTATTTTTTGTATTTTGTTACAGCCAATTATGTAGTTCATGAATTTTACTTAAAAATTACATTGCTGGTGCACTGTTGTATGTTACAAGAAGGAGATCTTGAAGGTGTCCACCTAGAGTGCATGAGTCAGACTGTGAACAATATATCTTTTGGAATTCTTGTAGATCATAGAACAAGCGATGGCTTTACTTACGTATGAAAACTGTACACTTATTGTCTGCAGATCTGCTTATGCAAAGCAATGGGAAGAGAAAATTCTATAGTTAAAGGGGAGTACCATAACTTGTTGGTGTTAGAATTGCTAATATCATAGTTCTTCCATCAGAAACAAATGATGTTAATTATTTTTAAAATCAATAACAAAGTAGCATAGTACTCCTAGGCTATTATTTGTAGTTATGGGATCCTCCAATCTCCAGACAGACCATTCCCAGCAGCAGAATCATAGGCACAGTGAGTATTACTATCACATCTGCCACACTACCTTCCCTAGAGTCGGGGAGAGAGAGGTCAAGCCAACTTGATTAAGTCTTTTATTAAAAACAGTGGGTTCTAATTTGTAGCATTTCTTACCAAGATTCGTTAACAAAGAATCCGAGTCTCACTTCAAGAAATTGGCAGGGTATTACAGCGACCTACAGGTCGATGGCAACTCTGACAGGATTCATTATTAATGAATATAATTAAGAAATACCTCACGAGACCTCACCATTGATTTCTGGAGAGATGGTGTGCTGTCTTCTCAGTAGAAATAAATAAATGATATGATAATTAATAAACTCACCACATGAAATCATAACTTAAAATGAGAGTTTTGGGGCTGTAATTTAGAATCTTTAATTCTGCTTATTGAACGACGTAACTTTAAATCTTTTTTACAGTTGTGTTTTGGAATAAGACGAATAGATAATGGCACCAAGATTTACTTTTTTTTAACTATGACACCCATGAATAGGGATCACGTGAAATGGGTTTGCGTAGATTTACTGGTTAATACATTTTTTATAGATGCCATTTCATCTTATATTTAATTAACAAAACTCATTGTATGCATTAACTGTTTTATGAATGCTGTTTTCATAAGTTGTGCAATGTACTAAGTGGCAGTATTGTTTTGACAGTAATAATTTTCACCTATTCATTGTGTCACATCTACATTGTTTTCATTATATAGACTGCTTGAGAATAGTATGCTGCTGGATGATTTTGAACATGCATCAAAGAATTTTGAAATTGTGGACCTGGGACATACATCAGCATGACCCTCTTGGACACCTAGCTATCGCCTTTTTTCCTGAATCAAAATGTAGACGTGCAATAATGGTGTAAAGACTAGCATTGCCATTTTATATAATATACAGTCAGATCCGGGATGGTACATGTATCGTGTGTAAGACAAATACATGCTGAAGAACAAGTACAACAATTGAAGCTGAGGATCAAGAACAATGCAGTTGAGCAGTGGCGAATGAGTGTCTCAGAGTTAAACAACAATAACACGTCAAAACATGAGCACTGTCAAATCTGGCTTTTTATACTTTGTTTCATAATCCTTTCTATGGCTAGAAATAATACAGTAGGTTAACATTTGATTAGTGAGATGGTTTCCCTTAAGTGTTTAAATTTGATTGAGATTGACAACATTTGAATATTTGATTTGGAGATAAATATTGACCAAAATTACAGTTTGTTATTTCAGGGTTTGCCTAACCATGTCTAACCTTTACCTTTGCTGTTGTATGTCACTGAGTATGTCACTGAGCTAGATTTGTATATGTGTTCAATACACAGTATGCAATAATCTTTGCTTTCTTGTAGTTTCTTGTAACTAAAGTGGGTTTTGTCCCATTGACCTCTGTTTGATCTATTAGTACCCAATATATAATTCTCACATACTGTTGTTTTCTCTTAGTTGTTAAATACATCTGAGATTTTNAAAAAAATTCTGAATCTGATATATTTAGTGCTTCTGCACAGGTCCCTAATTTATCTTCAGGGATGATTGAAATAATACTTTTTCTAAACTAATAATCCCTACCTGTATGCTTCAACAACCATTTCCATACCACTGCTTTCTCAGTCCAGAAAGATGAAGCAAAAACAAGGCTTATTTCATAATCATAGGCAACATTAACACTTCCGGGTGGGGTGAAAACACATCTTGTTATTGTTATTACTATAATATGATATACCCTACCAAAAACAAGATCTTTGATAGCTTTTAAAATGAAATTAAATAAATAATAAATTGAAACAAACACAAGCCTATGGA